TTTTGACGAATTTTGGTAATTTTTGTACAAAATTTGAAATTTTGACTTACATGGTTTTGGTTATACAATGTGCTACACTTTCATAAAAAATAATAAACATTTAATTAGCGAAAGGGAAATAGCCAATCAAATGCTAAAATGTCTCTTCCCTAATTATATTTTCGCCACTGTAGCTACTGACTGAGTGCGCTTATGAGAATGCGTGCGTACGTTTAAAAGGAAAAGTGCGCTCCCAAACAACCAAAAGTCAAGCTGCTGAAACTTAATCAGCTATTATCGAAGATAACGGAAGCACAGGTGGATACGACTGGCGGTCTGTATGTGTGTGCATGTGTGTTTGAGTGATTTTGTTATTGAATTTGAACGGTATTTCGCAATTTCCTCTGCTCGCTCACTAATCAGCTGTTACACAATTGACGCCATAGTAGATGGCAGCAAGAAATGGCGCGGAATGAAGTCTGTTTGTAATGAACTCGAATCGAAATGCAGCTGTCATTTGCTGTGCTGTTTATGCTGCTGGTAAGCTTTTGCAGATAAATTAAAGTGAAGTGTAAATTGAAATCTTCAACTTATTGAATTTGCTTATTTGATACTGACACACTTACAAGTATATGGTCGTATATCCAAAAACAAATGTACATTTTTTTTTCAATGAATTCTCAATCAAATTTTTATTTGCTTAAAACTAAAACAAAAAGTTTTCTCTTAGTTATTAAAATAAGCAAAATGCCACAAAAGCTTTGCTAAACTGACAAAATTGACTTTAATAACTGTAAATAGTATTATAGGAAAAAAAATCAAATTCTCAATAAATTGTCCTTGCAAGTGCATTTGGTTTTGTGTTTATTGTTTATTTGCTTGAATATATGTATGACCATTTCCACATCACCGACGATGCAAGCGAAATTTTGCGTATGCACACTTTCATACATATGTACTTAAGTGCGTGTGTAATAAAATTCACCATCTTTTTCTGATATTTATTATTTATGTTTTGTTTTCAATTATGTATGTACATACATATGTCTGCTTACTTAGAAACATATGTATGTATGTGCATACATATACAGTCAATCAATAAAGTTTAGGTACAGCGAATTTTGAAAATACGGGCAACTATTTTTTTTTAATATTTTATATTTCGCAAACTTTTTATAAAAATGTGGTTAATGCTACAACAACAACTCCAAAAATCTAAGTTCCAAACCTTGTGCAAAATTAAAGAAAATTCTGCGAAATTTCATTCAAATATTGCACTTTTTATTTACGTTCTCTAAAAAAAAGTTGAGTATGCAGTTTTTTAGCCCATTAAATTTTAGTATAATAAAGTGCAAGTATGAGCAAGCTAGGACTTCCTATTGATTTTTGGGAAATTTTTTTGTTTAAGCTGTCGCACATTTTTTCCATATAAAAAATTTATCAAACATTACACCTAAACTTTATTGACTGACTGTATGTATGTATGTATGTATAATGTATAACGTGTGTTTTCTTATTCTTTTTAACCGACTTCCAAAAAAGGAGGAGGTTATCAGTTCGTCGGAATATTTTTATATTTATTTATTTTTTTTTTTATGTATGTTACCGCATAACTTTGGACCACCGATTTCGATAATTTTTTTTGCATCGGAAAGGTAGTATCTCAGAGGTGGTCCCATACTAATCTGGTTAAGATCCGATCAGCGGATCATGAGATATATATATATATATATTTTTTTATATGGGAGTTGAAGTCGGTTTTTTTTTTGCTAAAAATTACTAGTTGTTTCAATTTTTGTTTGAATGTACAAAGTCCTTCAGCTTGGCTGCATCAAATATTTTCCGTTTATTTAACACTTGATTGAATTTTAATTTATTTGTACTAATTTAGATATTTTCGCAAGTCAATGGAAAATGCAACCCAATTACAAAAATTTGCATTCACATATAGGTAGATATGTATGTATGTGTATTTGAAAGAATGTCTTTTTGATTGCTCTTGAACCTGCTGTGGAAAATATTATTTACTCGAATTCGAGTTTATAATCAAACATTTTATTTTTTTTGTTAAGTTAATAAACATAAATATAGAGGGAAGCTACTATGTTTTTAAAATTTACAGCAAGTTCAAAATTTAATAAAACAAATCAATCAGTGAAAAATTAAGAAATTATTCTCAACAAACGAAGTTAGGTCTAAAATAGTGTTGAAGCATATATATGTATATGCGGATCAAAGGAGTAAAATATCACAAAAAGTATAAAAGGAAACAAAAAGTAACTCATGAGTATTCACTCAAGCTACGTGGGAAAAGTAAATTCAAGCAAGGCAATCTCGAAATCTTAAAAAAGGAAGGTGGCTATCTTGGCTAAAACTCTTGTCTCGGACCAAATGGATCCCATCCTTAGTTTTACGAAGACGTACAAGAACACATTTCCAGTAATCGGACGGATAACACTGGATAACAAATTTTAGTTTAGGTTTTGTTAACCAGACGCCACTATCCAATTTCTATGTGGAATTGCTTGGTGATTCCAAAAATAGAGTAAATTTTTTTTTCCACGGTTATTTAGTATAAAAAAAGAGTGGTTCTACTTAATCACGTATATTTTAGGAACCTATTGAACGATCTGAATGCGAAATACGGGAAAAAAATCCAATAAAATTAATAGGCCTGTTAGTTTCTGATAAATTAATTAATAACTCCAGATTTTTTATTTTTTTGATGAAAAAAAAAAAAAAATAAAATTTTAAGAGGGGAAAAATAAAAAAATAACGACTGTTTTATTGGCTTTCATCTACCGTATTTCGTATTGCGATTGTTCAATTTGTTCGCAAGATATACGTGCTTAAATGGAATCACTCTTTTTTTAAGCTTAATAACGGTAAATTGCAAATATCCTGAAAACGCATCGAAAGAAAAAAAAATAACTGGATTTACGGAATCACCGAGCAATTCTACATAGGAATTGGATAGTGGTATCCATAGAACATTTTTGCTGTAAACCGGTGTAATTATAATCCTAATACCTTAGAGAAAAGTCCGTAGCAAACCCTATGATCTAGCTTGGATACATCTGTGTAGAAATTTTTTTCTGCCCTTTCCTATGGTCTTAGTGTTTGGCACTCCCTTCATGACGGGGCGTTCGTCTTAAAAAGGTAAGGGGAGTGAGTAGTCGATTTCTTGGTTATAACTAACCAAAGTTTGAAGTATAGAAGCGGGGTCTTTTTACCCACAATAAATTAAAGTAATCGCAAAGTACTTAAAACTTTAAATTAATTAAACATTGTTTCGGACGAAATGGAACGCGATGTAGTCAATGCGGAAAATTGTCTCTACTACTGTCCTGGCTTCTAAAACTTATTCAAGTTAAAGAACTTGTTATACGTTTAAAGGGATGTAACTGCTTCTGGCTCTATTCTACATGCGTTTCTTTAAAAATCTCGTTTCTGTTCAACTATTCAGCTTGCCTGCTGCTTATTATCATAAGTGCCTTAGTCTAGCCAATGCGATAACAACTTAGCGTGGACTGCATAATATGCAAAAAGTATGCTCTAAATATTTGCTGGTATGTGACACAAATTTTTACTCGACACTTACAGCACAAATTCCTTAGCACGCACGTACGCACACACGCATATGTCACAAAACAAATAACGAATATTATAATAATAGCAAATATGCTACTTATAACAATTTATCTTGCAATATATATTATTTACTGAGTTACAGCTGATATGTGCTTAGTTTAGAGAACATACACACATTCACAAATCCAATAGAAATATGCCATGCATGTGAAAACGTGACACATTGTGTGGCAAATATTTGGCGAACTGGTCAGTTATTTATGCAGACATTCTACCATTTGCACTTTGGTATTTTTGGCACTGGCACGACGGCAGACAGTGCTTTGCCAGCTGTTTTTTTTTTGTTTTTTTTTTTTTTTTTTTGTTTTGATGCCATGACAGCCAAACATGACCCTGAAAATGGTGGCTATATGTTGGATTGAATATTTGTAGGTAGTAAGCGTAAGTGTTCATAATTCCATATTCGTTTTTTGGTTATCTGATGTTACATTTACATATACAAATACTACTACTATCCATATTTACTAACGTATGGATAGCTTCTCACATGAGTAG